GAGTATATATCAAGCGCCAAGACCATGGTTTGTAATATTATTCTCCAATGAGAAGTAACGGCTCCTTAGAGACGTGGCTGTTTCTAGGAGGAAGATAAACCTGGAGCCTCCTGTGGTGCCAGAGAAGTAAAGAACTACTGGGAGGAAACCATCCACATAAGTGCATGTCAGAGTACATGCAATGGGGGCAAGTCAAAGGCACATACACAGCAGCCAACTGAAAGAGCTCCCTGTAGTCAAAGCCGAAGTGATGAGCACTAAAATAAAGCAGTATAATCCCTGGCCACTGTAGCTCAGTGGATTGAGCACGGGCCTGCAAACCAAAGGACCGCAGTTCGATTCCCAGTCAGGGCACATGCCTGGGTTACAGGCCAGTTCCCAGCAGGGGACGCACCAGAGGCAACCATACATTGATATTTCTCTCTAAAAAATAAAGCAGTATAGAATTTAGTCCATACTGATAAAAAAATAAGTGATTGAGTAAATCAATACATGGGAGAGAAATCTTGGGTGCACGATGCCCTCCCAGGGCACACAGGTGTGGGGTGCACACAGTGACTTCCTTAGAAAGAGGACAGTTTGGAAAGGTGGGAAAAGAGTTACTTTACAGAAGAAATCTGACACACACTACCTCAGCCAGGCAATTAAGGTCAACATCAAAAATAAAAAACCAACTTCTGAGGACTTCCGGCCAAGATGGAGGTGTAGGTAGATACACTGTGCCGCCTCGAACAACCAAAATAAGGACAACAATTCAGAAACAAAGTAACAACCAAAACTGAAAGAAAATTAAACTGTATGGAAGTCCAACAACCAAGGAGTTAAAATAGACACATTCATCCATAGCGCAGGGCGCAGTAGGGCGGCTGAGTGGAGAGAGGTCACAGCACAGGAAACAGTGACACTGGACAGACCTTGGGCACCCAGGTGGCAGCTGGCAGACCCAGCGAGGCAGCAATTGAGAAGTGGGGCACCGTGCGCAAGGTGGCTGGCTGACCCTGCAGCAGTCCCACATTCGCACGTAGATTACTAGAGAGTGAGACAGATCGCACAACCCAGAGTCCTAGCGCTGGGAAATAAGCCTCAAAACACCGACTGAAAACACTTGTGGGGATTGAGGCCCAGGGAGAAACTCCCACCCTCACAGGAAAGTTCGTTGGAGAAACCCACAGGGTCCTAGAATGCACATAAGCCCACCCACTCGGGAATCAGCACCAGAGAGGCACAATTTGCTTGGGGGAAGCGGCAGAAGAGACTGAGGTGCAACAAAGAGCAGAGCAAAGCACCATTTTTTTTTCTTCTCTAACCCCGCCCCCACATACAGCATCACAACCCAGTGACTTGGGTTACCCTGCCCCTCATACGGCGCAACAGGTGCAAACAGACCAAAACATTATGGCTGAAGAACAGCTCAAAGCCCCAGAGCCAATACTTGTAAGTGACCAAGAGATAGCCAATCTATCAGATGCACAGTTCAAATCACTGGTGATCAGGTTGCTCACAGTACTGGTTGATTTTAGTCACAAATTAGATGAACAAATGAATGTTAAACTAAGTGAAATGAAGGGAAATGCATAGGGAACCAATAGTGATGGAAAGGAAACTGGGACTCAAATCAATGGAGTGGACCAGAAGGAAGAAACAACCAAATAGAAAAGAAGGAAGAAACAAGAATTCATAACAATGAGGAGAGGCTTAGGAACCTCCAGGACATCTTTAAACGCTCCAACATCCAAATTATAGGGGTACCAGAAGGGGAAGAGGAACAGCAACAAGTGGAAAACTTATTTGAACAAATAATGAAGGAGAACTTCCCCAATATGGCAAAGGAAATAGACTTCCAGGAAATCCAGGAAGCTCAGAGAGTCCCAAAGAAGTTGGACCCAAGGAAGAACACACCAAGGCACATCATAATTACATTAGCCAAGATGAAAATGAAGGAGAGAATCCTAGAAGCAGCAAGAGATAAGGAGACAGTCACCTACAAAGGAGTTCCCATCAGACTGTCAGCTGATTTCTCAAAAGAGACCTTACAGGTAAGAAGGGGCTGGAAAGAAGTATTCCAAGTCATGAAATCCAAAGACCTCCATCCATGATTGCTCTATCCAGCAAAACTTTCATTTAGAATGGAAGGGCAGATAAAGTGCTTCTCAGGTAAGGTCAAGTTGAAGGAGTTCATATCACCAAGCCCTAATTATATGAAATGTTTAAGGGACTTATCTAAGAAAAAGATAAAGAACATGTATACTAAAATGACAGCAAACTCACAATGACTAACAACCACACCTAAAATAAAAACAAAGGAAACAACTATAACAGGAACAGAACCACAGAAATGGAGATCACATGGAGGGTTAGCAACAGGGGAGTGGGAGGAGGAGAGAGTGGGGAAGGTACAGAGAATAAGTAGCATAGATACCAGGCAGAAAATAGACAGGAGGAGGGCAAGAATAGTATGGGAAATGTAAAAGCTAAAGAACTTACGACACATGGACATGAACTAAAGGGGGGGAATGTGGGAGGGAGAGGGTGTGCAGGGTGGAGGGGAATGAAGGGGGGAAATGGGACAACTGTGATAATATAATCAATAAAATATATTTAAAAAAACCAACTTCCGGTCGAGATGGCAGCACAGGTGAACATGACTCACTTCCCTGCACAACCACATCAAAATTACAACTAAAATATAGAAGCACCATCACTCAGAACTGTCAGAAATTGAGCTGAATGGAAGTCAGAGAAGTCAGAACTACGGAAATCAAGAAACCACATCCTTCCAAACTAGTAGGAAAGGTACAGATGTGGAATGGTTTGGTCCTATATCCACGTGTGGTGGATAAAAGTTCAGGAGGGATATCCCGAGAGTGAGGAGTCCCAGCCCCACAAGAGGCCCCCCCCCCAGCCCAAAGTTCCAGAGCCAGGAAGTTTAGTTCCCATAACATTGGGCTGCAAAAACCAGTGGGGATTGAGTCTGTGTAAGAAACCTCTGGAGTCCCAAGCAGTTTCTCTCAAAGAGCCCACACACAGACTTTCTCAGACTCACTCTCTCAGAGCTCCAGCACCGAGGTAGCAGCTTGAAAGGCAGCAGGGGCATACAGGGAGGAACTGAAGTGTCTGTCATCAAGGCAAGAGCTAGGGGACAGCTTTCTCCCAGACAGAAAGGCAGGCAGAGGCCATTATCCCATATCTGAACCATCCCCCCAACAAAGCCACCGAAGTGGCATGCTGGTGCCACACCTAAGTCTCCATCAACCTGGCTAACACTGTTTGCTTCGCCCTGGAGATCCCCAGAGACTTTGTCCTACCCAACTTATGGGCCCACCCAAGCTGCTTTCCCATCTGAATGGCTGGCCTTGGCTCATGCTTCACAACTTCCTAAATCCACTCAAACAAGCAACAGCCAGCCTCAGTGAGCACTCAACAACCCCTACCCCCTGGCCCCTGTACCTATTGCTAAGTGGCCCCAGGCTCCACACCAGCAGCAACCAGCCTAGATTCACAGCTTGGCTTTGCCTCAGAACCTCCAAGCCCAGCCCTACAAGCAGCAGCCATCTCAGATTGCTTTTATAGCTCAGGCAGGGTGGCCCCAGGCAACACAAAGGTCAGGGATGACCTGGGTTTGTAGCACTTAAGAAACCCCAGAGCCCGGACACCCAGGGGACAGCTACCTTTGATGTGATGTAATGTTAATAACACTTCATCTCTGTGGCCCTCCTCTCCAAAACACATAATCCCAGTATAATCATGAGGAAAACATCAAATATCAACTGAGGGATACTCTACCAAATATCTGACCAGTATTTATCAAAATTAGGACATCAGAAACAATGAAAGTCTGAGAAACCATCACAGCCAAGAGGCAATACGACTATTAAGTGTAATGTGTTTGCTGGATGAATAATATATAGACTTTAGTTGCTAATAATGTATCAACATTCCTTCATTAATTGTAACAAATGCACCATAATAATATCAGATGTCAATAGCAGGGAGAAAATATGTTGAAAAATATATAAATGGTTAATAAAGATGATCTCCAAGTGTATGAGATTATAAACTGCTTATTTAAACTTTTAACAAACAAGTCAATACTTTTAGTAAAGACAAAAGGTCCAGTTTTAGTTTTGTTTTGTTTTTCTAAAGAAAAATAAAGCAAAGTAGTGAAGGTTTTAAAGTTTAAATGGAAAGACTCATTTTCTATCCAAGTGTTCTATAATTTTTCAAAGGAACAGAAGTAACAATTCAATTTCAGTCTCAGGTTTTCAATCATGGTCAATTCAGATAGTTACTGAAGAAGCACTGAAGAAAAGTATCGTGAAACACTTTTTTTTTAATTTCAAAATTTTATTCATAGAATCAGGTATTTTCAAAAGTTCAAATGATGACCCCTGACATCAGTGCCACACAGACTCCAGTGAATCTGTTGTAACTCCTCATTCTGTAAAAGACTCATATTATGTCAATGAGTATGTCACAGAGCAAAGCAGAGTCTAGTGAATTAACTAGGCCAGCACGAACAGTGAGTACAGCAAGTTCACAGTCATCAGTCTGAAACTAAGATCACAGAGATGTCTAGACAAGTCACCTCCCTCTCCTCTAATTGAGGATGGGAGCTAAATCACAAGAAGAAAAGTCATCCAAGAATCCCCTGGAACAGCTGAAATGCAGGTTCAAATCAGATATCACTACAAGCATCAGTTACCAGATCAAAAACACTATCACTTCTGTCTATGTGAACTCTAAGCAGGTGTTTTCTTGAAGAAAGGGAAGTAGCAGGAGAGGGCAGGAATTGGTGTGAGTCTCCAGCAGCTTTTTTCTTTCCTCTTAGTCATTGAGGAAATAGCCCTGGAATAAGAGAACCATGGTATATTTTGGGGAAGCTCTGCCAATATCCTTTTATATTAGGGTAACAAAGGATTCTTTAAAGAATAGCAGTGGATAAGAACTTACAGCCTTCAAACATCAAGTTAAGAAGAAATAATCAACTTGCTCTGACTTACAAGAGTTGTGCCGACGACGAAAACTTCTGGACTGACTCAAGGGCTCTGCGTGCCTATCCACACAGCTCCTGGAGCACTGCTGCTGCGGGGAGACGGCAGCATCGTGGCTCTTCACATCGGTCCTCTTCGGGATGTTCTGCGGGGCAGTGCTGGAAGGGGCTGGCTTCTTGACCAACCTGCCCATGCCATTCTGATTGATACCCATTTGGTACCCAACACCAGAGGAGCCTAAATCTGTCTGAAGGTCTCCAAAATGTTGGTTTTCTCCAGGACCTGGTATCTCCAGAATTTTTAATTCCATAATGTCACCTGCCCTGAAATACACAAAACAATCCAATTCTCAAAAATACAGTAAGTGGTAATAATGATGAAACTGGAATCAAGAGCAACCAGCTACACCTTTGTAGGGCTGCATTTCAATGAGTTATCAAAAACTAAGAAAGGTGGTAGAGACACACAGCTCAGCCACCAACATGGCACTGACACAGCACTGCCCTTTAAAGAGCCATATTGTTAATCACAAAACTATCATCAACATCTTGGATTTCCAGAATGCTTTACAGCTTTTTTTTCATTCATTCGCTCACCTGCTCATTCGGTAGGCATATACACAGTACTTAATATGTGGTAAGCCCTGCACTGGGAATGGGGTATATAGAGATGAAAAGCAATACATGCCCACAAAGAACTCATAGTCTAGTCAGAAAAGACAAGTAGACAATCAAAAGTGTTAAATACTGGGGGCTGAGTGGGTGGAGGGATTGAGCAAAAAAGAAAGGAGAAAAAAACTCATGGATATAGACCATAGTGTGGTGACTGCTGGGGACAGGTGGAAGAGGATATGGGGGGATAGATGGTGATAGAAGGAGACTTGACTTGGGGTGGTGAACACACACTACAGTGTACAGAAGATGTGTTGTAGATTGTAGAATTATGCACTTGAAATCTGTATAATTTTGTTAACCAATGTCACCCCAATAAATTCAATAAAAAAGGAAAAAATGTCTTAAAGTGTTGACACTTTGTCATAGTCTCCTTATGACAGAGGTTTGCATAGGAGACTAGAGAACCTAAAAGGAAAATAAAGACGTTAGTTTGGCAGAGGTGGATGAAATATGTATGCTAAGTCTGGAGGATGGAAAATAAGAGTTGGTCAGGTGGGACAGGCATCTCAAGCCAAGGCTAAGAGGCTGAGAACGTGTGGCCCACTTGATGCACGCAAATGTTACGGTGTGACTAAAGGGTCGGATGCTTGTGCAGGCCACCAGGAGGTAAGGCCTGTGGAGGCAATTAGGGGCCAGTCGTAATCACACTGGATTTTTCTAGTGGCTGTAGATGGAGAAACTAGAAGCAACAGCACCAGTTAGGAGACCAGGCAAGAAATAAGAGGAGAGAAACAGGGCAAGTGATGATGAAAAGGGAGAAAGGAAGATGGAACCATGAGACATTTGCAACCCACAGGATTTGGTGACTAACTGAACAGTGGGATCAAAGAGAAAGAATTTATTATGATTCTTAAGTTTCTAACTTGGGTGGAGAGTGTTATTAGTCACCTACTAAGGGTAAATTTTTGGAAAAGAAATCTGTAGGTAACATGAGTTCAACTTTGAAAATCTTAATTGAAGATTTAAGGATATCCACCTTGAAATACCCAGTAGACAATTAAAATAAAGTGTCTGGAGCTCAGAAAATGGGCCTAAATTAAAGATTTGGTATAGGCAAACAGAGAAGTCATCAGTAATAACAATGGCCAGTTTATAGGGGTGTCGGCTCGGGCCACACCTGAGCGCATTCTGCCCCGCCTGCCCCCCCGCCCCCGCAGGCCTCAGACACGTCCTTTCCCCGGGATGTCCGAGTTAGTCTTTGATGGCAGTCTGAGACACTACGGCCAAGATGGAGGCCTAGGTAGAAACACTGTGCCTCTTTGCACAACCAAAATTAAGGACAACAAAGATTTAGAAACCAAAACACACCCAGAACAGACAGAAAACTGAACTGTACAAAAAGTCAGACAACCATTCATCCAGACCAGTAAGAGGGGTGGAGCAGGTGGCCAGCGGAGAGCGGTAGACACAGGAAAAAGCGGTGACTGGCAGACCTGGGAACGCAGGCGGCGCAGGGCTAGCAGACCCTGGCATGGGGAGGAAACGAGCAGACCCAGTGAGGCACGCAAGGCTACTGGCTGACTGTGGTCACACATTCGTGTGCAGATAAACCAGGCAAAAACGGGCAGCGAGACAGACCTCACAACCCAGGGTCCCAGTGCCAGGAAATAAAGCCTCAAACCTCTGACTGAAAACATCTGTGAGGGATGAGGTGCTGGGAGAGACTCCCAACCTCACAGGAGAGTTCATTGGAGAGACCCACAGAGTCCTACAATGTACACAAGCCCACCCACCCAGGAATCAGCACCAGAAGGGCCCAGTTTGCTTAAGGGAAGCAGTGGAAGGGACTGAAATCTGACAGCAGAGCAAGCACCATTGTTCCCTCTCAGAACATACTGCGTCACAACCCAGCAACTGGGCTGCCCTGCCCTGGTGAACACCTAAGGCTCTGCCCCTCATACTAACAGGTGCATCAGGACCCCCCAAAAAAGGGGGGGGCTCAAACAGAAGAACAGATCAAAGCTCCGGAAATAATACAACTAAGCAACCAAGAGAGAGCCAACCTATTAGATGCACAGTTCAAAACACTGGTGATCACAATGCTCATAGAACTGGTTTATTTTGGTCGCAAATTAGATGAAAAAAAATGAAGGCTACACTAAGTCAAATGAAGCAAAATGCATAGGGAACCAATAGTGATGGGAAGGAAACTAGGACTCAAATCAATGAAGTGGACCAGAAGGAAGAAAGAAACAACCAAACAGAAAAGGATGAAGAAACAAGAATTCAAAAAAATTAGGAGAGGCTTAGAAACCTCCAGGACATCTTTAAACATTCCAATATCCTAATTATAGGGGTACCAGAAGAGGAAGAGGAACAGCAACAATTGGAAAACTTATTTGAACAAATAATAAAGGAGAACTCCCCCAATATGGCAAAGGCAATAGACTTCCAGGAAGTCCAGGAAACTCAGAGTCCCGAAGAAGTTGTATCCAAGGAGGAACACACCAAGGCACATCATAGTTACATTAGTCAAGATGAAAATGAAGGAGAGAATCCTAGAAGCAGCAAGAGATAAGGGGACAGTCACCTACAAAGGAGTTCCCATCAGATTGTCAGCTGATTTCTCAAAAGAGACCTTACAGGCAAGAAGGGGCTGGAAAGAAGTATTCCAAGTCATGAAAGGCAAGGACCTACATCCAAGATTGCTCTATCCAGCAAAGCTTTCATTTAGAATGGAAGGGAAGATAAAGTGCTTCTCAGATAAGGTCAAGTTAAAGGAGTTCATCATCACCAAGCCCTTATTATATGAAATGTTAAAGGGACTTATCTAAGAAAAAGAAGATAAAAAAGATGAACAGTAAAAAGACAGCAAGCTCACAGTTATTAACAGCCATGCCTAAAACAAAAGCAACCTAAGCAAATGGCTAGAACAGGAACAGAACCACAGAAATGGAGATCACATGGAGGGTTAGCAACAGGGGAGTGGAAGGAGGAGAAGGGGGGAAAAGGTACAGAGAATAAGTAGCATACACGATGGGGAGAAAACAGACAGGGGAGGGCAAGAATAGTATGGGAAATGTAGAACCTAAAGAACTTATGATACACGGACATGAACTAAAGGGGAGGAATGTGGGTTGGAGTGGGTAGCAGGGTGGAGGGGAATGAAGGGGGGGAAATGGGACAACTGTAATAGCACAATCAATAAAATATATTATTAAAAAAACAATGGTCAGTTTACAAATAGTCTTATAGGGATAAATGACATGATATATGCAAATCATTAAGACTAGTATTTAGTTATTAAGAACTCAATAAATGGTTATTATTACTAGTAAAAAAGACTTGGGGTCTCATGAACATATCAGAAGGCATCCATGAGAACATCTAGGGAGTACAGGGTGAGAAAAGAATCAAAGATAGAAATTTGAGGAAACCAATCTTAAAATGTGAGTATAAGAAAAGGAACCTGGAAAAAAGAAAGATAAAGGAATGGAGGAAAACATGAAAATAAAACCCAAAGGAATGACAGAGAAACTAAAAGAAGCAGACACTTTCAAAAGTTAGTGAGCACTTGCCCTGCCGGGCATGGCTTCCCTGGCCGGAGCGCTGTCCTGGCCACTGAAAGGACACAGGTTGGATTCCCTGTAGGAGAAGGCAGCCAATCAATGTTTCTCTCTCACAGTGATGTGTTTCTCTCCTCCCACCCCGCCCCCTTCCTTTCTCTCTAAAAACAATAAAAAAAGACAATGTTCTCAGCTGAGGATTTAAAAAAAAGGGAGCATTTGAATAGATGATAATTGAGACACTGACACTGAATTTGGCAGTTAGGCCATTTGTAACCTTGACAAGAGATAGCTAAGCAAAATGGTAAAGTTAGAAAAAAGATACAGTCGGGTAAGGAGGGACTAGAGAATGAGGCCGCAAAGGAAATGAAGGCAGATCGTTTTTGGTCTGAAAAGAAATGTGGGTGTACAGAGAAGGAAATGATAGTTCAAATGCAAGTTGTATGCGGGGTGGGGGAATGCCTGTACTATGGGGGAGGCCTGGGGATGTTTGAATGTGGAGAGGAAGAACACAGAATAATGGTTGAAACTAAAGACGTGAAATAGACGGTTAGGGTCTCAAAGGAGATAGAAAAGGATCGCATATAAAGCATACACAATAAGGTGAGCCCTGAACACAAAGGGTATTTCTTCTACTGAGACTTCAGAGGAGGTAAGAAATAAAAATGGATACACCTACAAAAAAAGTTATGTGTACGTATTGTTCACAAAGTTAAGGGAAGCTCTTGCCCAACAGTCTTTTTTTTTTTTTTTTTTTTTAATCATACGTTGGCCAAACTGGTGAAAAGAGGGATGTGAAGACAACTGAACTTCAGATATGCTGGCAGACACTAAGAAAAATACATTCCTGTGACTAAGGACTTTAGCTACTGGCTACAGTGTGCTTTTGGAAATAAATTATAATACAGATCTACAAGAAGAGCTACAGTCATGAAGGGGAAAATAAGTAACAACCTTAGATTAAGAAAAGCACAGCGATATAAAACTGAGAAAGAAAATCTAAAACCATAAAAGAAAACTAAGAGGTAATTCTAAATTTGACCCATTTAAATAATGTAATATTCCACACTTGACAGAGATCAGAAAATGTTTTACAAACCCTGAACCATGAGCTGAAAGCTATGACAGTCTGCTAACTATACAATCCAATACTGCAAAATCTCACCTCCAACAAGACCACTCAAAAGCAGTCCTACACAACATACTATTAGCATTCTGGCTTCAGTTCAAGCTCCACTGACCACCAGATTAGATGTGGAAGAATCAGTTGGGACACTCACCTGAAGGTGACTTCTGGCACAAGGCACTTCACTCCATTGTGGAAAGGCCGGGTGAGAGAAATGGTCTGGCTGACCTGATCCACTGCCGACACTCGTCCCTGATAGACACCCAAGCTGTCCCCACAGTTGATGGACACAATACTGCCCAGCCAATCTGTAGCCATGTTTCAGATGTGAGACCACTGTGGAGACAAGAAACCAGGCAACATACCTTGAGAAAGAGATGAATCTTTAATTAAATTCAGTAAAGAATTATCTCAGGCTCTGTATCAGATGTTGCTTAATAATGCATATTCTGTCACATTATTAATTGATGTAATAAAACAAAAAAAATTCTTTCCAGTAGGAGTATGCATATTAATGAAAAAACAGTATCATTTAATATATACAAAGATCTTACAATTGCTTTAAAGCACATGTACCGGATAAAAATATGTATTTACACAGACAATGAATCACACAAACTACAACCTGTTTACAACCTGTTATATTTTAATATATGTGCTGTTAGAATGCTTTCAAAGAGAATGTATTATGAAGAAATTACATATAAAAGATAATATTGGTAATGTCAGAGTAGCTTATATCTGACTAACCCTCTCATCATGATAATCATAACTTCTAGACAGAATTTTTTAAAAAGCGGGCTGAAGGCATGAAGAACCCAGCATGTAACAACCGCAGAATGTACACTCCTCTTAGGTACACCTGGGATGGTGACCAGCATACGCTGGGCCTTGAACTAGCACCACCTCATTCCAAAGAACTGAAATCAGACAGAGGATAGTCTTGGTCCATAACAAAATGCTATCTGAAACTGATAATAAGATATCTCAAATATTCTCAAATATTTGGAAATTAAGCAAGATATTTCGAAATAACCTGGGAAGTTAAAAGTAGTTCACACTGAGTGATGGAAAACTGTTAACATTTGTGTGATAAACTTAAAACAGTGCTTAAAGGGAAAACTAGAGCTCTAAGTGGTATTAGAAAAGTCGAGCCCAGCTGGTGTGGCTCAGTGGATTGAGCACTGGCCTGCCAAGCAAATGGTTGCCGGTTCAATTCCCAGTCATGGCACATGCCTGGGTTGCAGGCCAGGTCGGGCCCCTAGTAGGGAGCACAGAAGAGGCAACCACACATTGATGTTTCTCTCCCTTTCTTTCTCCTTCCCTTTCCCTAAAAGTAAATAAATACAATATATATTTTTTTTAAAGAGGACCTCCGGCCAAGATGGAGGCGTAGGTGGAAACACTGTATCTCCTTGCACAACCAAGTTTAAAGGCAACACAGATTTAGAAAGAGCAGTGGCTGCCGGACCAACCCAGGGGTGCAAGCCGTGGTTGGCAGACCCCAGGTGTGGAGTAGCAACGGGCAGACCCAGTGAGGGCGCAAGGTAGCTGTCTGGCTGCGTTCACACATTCACACACAGATAAACCAGGCAAAAAAATGGACAGTGAGACGGATCTCGCAATCCAGTGACAAAAAAATAAAAGCCTAAAAGCACTAATTGCAAAAACTTTCAGGGGTTGAGTTGCGGGGAACAGCTCCCAGCCTCACAGGAGAGTTCGTTGGAGCTGAACCCACAGGGAACCTAGGATGTACACAAGCCGACCCACCTGGGAACCAGCACCAGAAGGGCCCAGTTTGCTTGTGGGAGTGGCAGAGCGGACCAAAATCCGAGAGAGAACAGAACAAATGCCAATGCTCCCTCTCTGATCCCGTGCCTAGTCACAACATAGAGATTGGGTCGACCCACACCAGTGAACACCTAAGCTTCCCCCCCTTATGTAACTGGCACAAACAGACCAAAACATTATGGCTCAAGCAGAAAAACAACTCAAAGCCCCAGAGCCAATACTTCTAAGCAACCAAGAGATAGCCAACCTATCAGATGCACAGTTCAAAACACTGGTGATCAGGTCGCCCACAGAACTGGTTGATTTTAGTCACAAATTAGATGAACAAATGAATGCTAAACTAAGTGAAATGAAGGGAAATGCACAGGGGACCAATAGTGATGGGAAGGAAACTGGGAATAAAATTAATGGAGTGGACCAGAAGGAAGAAAGAAACAAGCAAACAGAAAAAAAATGAAGAAACAGGAATTCAAAAAGATGAGCAGAGGCTTAGGAACCTCCAGGACATCTTTAAACATTCCAATATCTGAATCAATGGGGTACCAGAAGGAGAAGAGGAAGAGCAAGAAATTGAAAACTTATTTAAACAAATAATGAAGGAAAATTTCCATAATCTGGCAAAAGAAGTAGACTTCTAAGAAGTCCAGGAAACCCAGAGTGTCCCAAAGAAATTGGACCCAAGGAAGAACACAGCAAGACACATCATAATTAAGCTACCCAAGATAAAAGACAAGGAGAGAATCTTAAAAGCAGCAAGAGGAGAGAAGACAGTTACCAACAAAAGAGTTCCCATAAGACTATCAGCTGATTTCTTAAAAGAAACTTAGCAGTCAAGAAAGGGCTGGAAAGAAGTATTTGAAGTCATGAAAGGGAAGGACCTACATCCAAGATTACACTATCCAGCAAAGCTATCATTTAGAATGGAAGGGCAGATAAAGTGCTTCTCAGATAAGGTCAAGTTCATCATCACCAAGCCCTTATTATATGAAATGTTCAAGGGACTTATCTCAGAAAAAGATTAAAAATATGAACAGTAAAATGACAACAAACTCACAGCTATTAAAAACCAAACCTAAAAACAAACAAAACAAACTAAGCAAACCACTAGGACAGAAACAGAATCACAAATGGAGATTACGTGGAGGGTTATCAGAGGAGGAGTAGAAGGTGGAGAGAGGGGGAAGGGTACACAGAATAAGAAGCATAAATGGTAGGTAGAAAATAGACAGGGAGAGGTTAAGAATAGTATGGGAAATGTAGACGCTAAAGAACTTATATGTACAACTCATGGACATGAACTATAGTGGGGGGAATGAAGGTGGGAAGGGGTGTGCAGGGTGGAGGGGAATAAAGGGAAAATGGGACAACTATAACAGCATAATCAATAACATTTATTTTTTAAAAAGAATGAAATTGTGGTTCAATACTATAAAACCAATCAGTACAATCTACCATATAAGAAAAATATTGCATGATCTAGCAACTGAAGTAGAAAAAAGCATTTGACAAAGTTCAATACCCATTAATGATAAAAACTCAGAAAATTTTTTTTATCAATTTGATAAAGACTATCTATGAAAAACCTACAGATAACAGTATGTACGTACTTATTGTGAAAACCTGAATGCTTTCCCCCAAGATCAGGAATAAGACAAGGATGTCTACTCTCACCAATATTGTTCAATGGAGCCCTGGAACTTCTTGTAAGGCAAGCAAAGGAAATAAAAGGCAAAAGTAAAAAGAAAACTGTTCCCAGTTGCAGATGACATGATTGCCTAAGACAATCCCAAGGATCTACAAAATAAACCCTAAGAACTAATAAGTAAATTCAGCAAAGTCACAGATACAAGACATACAAAGTCTACCTTATTTTAATATACTGGTAATAAAAATATGGAATTTGAAATTTAAAGTGCAGTATGTACAATTGCTCAAAAAATGAAATAAAGGTATGAATCTAACAAAACATTTACAGTATCTGTATGCTGGAACTATACAATGCTTATGAAAAAAATCAAAGTTATAAATGGAGAGATATACCATGTTCATGGATTGAAAGACTCAACATATGTTGATTCTCCCTAAATTAATATACAGGATTAACACAATTCCTATCAAAGTCCCAGCAAGATGTTTTGTTACTGTAAAGATTATTCTAAAATGTATATGGAAAGGAAAAGAAACTAATATAGTTAAATCATTTGAAAAGAATGTGTATTTTGCTTTTTGGGGGTGAAAGGTTCTATATATATCAGTTAAGCCCACTTGATCTAATGTGTCATTCAGTTGCACAACATCCTTGTTGATATTTTGTTTGGGAGACCTACCCCTTGTTGACAGTGGGGTGTTAAAATCCCCTAGTACAAGCGTGTTGCTATCTATATTTTTCCTGAAGTCCTCCAAGATTTTCCTTATATGTTTGGGTCCTCCTATGTTTGATGCATGTATGTTTAAAATACTTATTTCTTCTTAATGAATTCTTCCCTTGAGTATTATGAAGTGTCCTTCCATGTCTTTTTTTATGGCCTTTGTTTTGAAATCTATTTTGTCTGAAATAAGTATTGCTACTCTGGATTTTTCCCCCTGTCCATTTGCTTGGGATATTTGTTTCCAGACCTTCACTTTCAGTCTGTGTAGGTCTTTTCTTCTGAAATGGGTCTCTTGCAGGCAGCATGTGTGGGTCATGATTTCTTATCCATTCAGCTATTCTATGTCTTTTGGTTGGAGCATTTAATCCATTTACTTTTAAGGTTATTATTAATAGGTATTTATTCATTGCCATTTTACCCACTTTGTACCTGTGTTCCTCTCTTTCACTCTTTATCTTCTTTTTCTTAAAGCATACCCTTTAGCATCTCTTGCAGTGCTGGTATAGAGGAGGCATATTCTTTTGAGGCTTCTTTTGTCTAGGAAGCTCCTTATTTGGCCTTCCATTTTAATTGAGAGCCTTGGTGGGTAGAGTAGCCTTGGCTGCAGGCCTTTAATTTTCATTACTTGGAATATTCCTTGCTCTTCTGGCTTGGAGCATTTCCACTGAGAAGTCAACTGCCAGCCTTATTGGGGGTCCCTTGTATGTTACCTCCTGTTTATCTCTTGCTGACTTTAAAAAAAAATATTTTATTTATTTATGTTTAGAGGGGAAGGGAAGGGGAGAGGGAGAGAAACATCAATGTATGGTTGCCTCTCATGTGTCCCCTGCTGGAAACTGGCCTGAAACCCAGGCATGTACCCTGACTGGAAATTGAACCGTGATCCTCTGGTTCGCAGGCCAGTGCTCAATACACTGAGCTACATCAGCCAGGGCTGTTGCTGCCTTTAAGATTCTCTCTTGGTCTTAGAATTTTGCCATTTTAATTATGATGTGTCTTGTAATGGGCCTTTTTGGGTACCTCTTGATTGGGACCCTCTGTGCTTCCTGGACTTGTAAGAAGACAGACTATATGATGGAACACGAAACAAGCCTCAACAAATTCAAGAAAACTGAAATCATCCCAAGCATCTTCTCCAACCACAAGGGCTTAAAACTAGAAACCAACCTCAAGGAA